AGTAGTAGTAGTAGTAGTAGTAGTAGTAGTAGTAGTAGTAGTAGTAGTAGTAGCAGTAGTAGTAGTAGTTGTTGTTGTTGTTGTTGTTGTTGCTGTAGTAGTTGTAGTAGTAGAAGTAGTGGTTATAGTAGTAGTGGCATATATCTATATGAGGAAATAAACTTTTAAAACTTTAAATTCAACACAGGTAGGAAACTTTTGTCCGCTCGAGACGAGCTCAAAGCCAAGGTAGAAAAGTACAAGTTAACTCAGTCCACATTTCTTCCACCCCACTGTAAAGACCAATCTTCTCCGCATCTGTCCTTATTTGACATAATATAAGGAGAAACTATCCTAAATATCACTGTAACTATGGTAGAAGTAGTTGTATAGTAAGATAGTCTTTAAAAATAGCGTGATTAGTACAAAACATGGTAAATTTTAGGTGTCCCTGAAATGTGGCTTGTCGATGTTAAGACCACTGAGAATTAGGTGAGAACCCAAATTCCAAATCCACATTGATTCTCTTTTAGGTTTTCTTTTGTAGGATTTCTAACTAGTTCAATGCCCTGACGCTGCAGATCATCATCATCATCATCATCATCATCATCATCATCATCACCACCATCCTCATCATCATCATCACCATCATTATCATCACTCCAACCAGCTTAGTTCCATCCATGTCATTTTCAACTTAAAACTATTCGCAGCCACCACCGACAGTGACACAATCTCACAACACTGTATCCACACTACAATGTTTTTTTCTAAAGAACATTGATATTGGAATTTCTCAACCATACCAAACTAGATCGCAGAGGAGTTATGTGTTGTCTGCCTATGATCACTTTCAAGCTTTGTTATGTCCAGATGTTTTCTCCTTGCGGTAGGACATGATACACAAGGTGACACGTTACTTTAAGTTATTAAAAAAATAGTTTTGTTGCGATCTAGTTTGATATTGTTGAGAAATTCCAATATCTAAGTTCTTTAGAAAAAAAAAATTGTAGTGAGGATACAGTGTTGTGAGATTGTGTCGGTGTCGGTGGTGGCTGGGAATAGTTTTAAACTGTCCAAAACAATGCTGCGTGTTAAGCTTTACGGAAAAGAAAGCGAGACTCTGCTTCACCTCTTTTACGGACATTGCAGTGGCTTCCTGTTAAGAAAAAAATTGTGTACAAGTTGGTCATTCTATGTCATAAATGCTTCAATGATAATGCGCCATAATATTTATCAAATCTGTTGGGATTGTAATTCCAACTCGCAATATAAGGTCAAATTTCTGTTACCATATGTAATACTTAAAACAGTGTGTGAAAAGGTATTTGAAAATCAAGGCCCCTAGATCTGGAATGCTTTGCCAAGTATTTTAAGAGAGATCAAATCTTTTGATTCACTCAAATGTCAGCTGAATTCATTTCTGTTTTTAAATTAATAAGATGGATGTGTGGAGTGATTTGTTTGGGTCAAAACACAATGTTTTGTGTTACTGTTGTCCATTGTATTATATTGTAAAGCGCTCAGAACCTGTGCACTTTAATCAGGGTTGCGCCTAGATACATGTCATATGTTATTATTATTGTCGTTATTATCATTATTATTAGTAGTAGTAGCATTATTACTAATGTTATTATTATTATTATTGTTGTTGTTGTTGTTATTATCATTAGTAGTAATAGTAGTAGCATTATTACAACTATTATTAGTATTATTATTAGTATTATAATAGTGCGGTTAAGAATAAAATTCGTGGCGCAACTTATCCTCAAGCATCATTTCAATCAGTGAATCAATGTCACCCATATTTTGCACATTTATTTGTATCCATTAAAATAAAATTTGTCTTTAGGGAATCCTCTGTTCAATCCTCTGTTCAGATCAGTAAAAATATTGAAAAAATATGACTTTTTGGATTTTGGAGTATCTTCATTGATATCTATCAAGAATCCATATTTAGAAGCCTAATTTCTATATCAAACTTATAAATACATGTAGCTGGAAAATGCACCTGAGAGAGGTAGCAATGTAGGAAAATCTTCACAAAATCACTTTGCAATTTTCTCAGAATTGTTTATCTGACCAGGTTGCAACACTATTTTGAGCAGGTCTCAGAAAGTTACTGTCAGAATTTATTCAAATTTGCACAAATCTTTTATACACATTAAACTTTATCTATGACCTTACAGAAGCATTTTTGCTGTTGATGGTGCACAGTGGGAGTTTTAGGCCTTTTTTATTTTACAAAATCTTAAAATATTGGAGACCTCAATGAACTGCATAAGAAGGACTGCAAAGCTCACAAGTTAGTACAGAACATTTTAATTTGGCTCTGTAAGGCCATTCTACCTACCAACAGTAATCGCCGTGCCAAAAGTGAGGCTTCTGTCTTTATGAGTGTTGACTGAAATAACATTTTTTTTTTTTTTTAAATGATGAATGTGTCCTTTATTCTTGATGGCTCGAGATTATTATAGCTAAAATCTTGATATTTTTTGCTTGGTAACCTTGTTTTGTACTATGTCACAGCCTTTGGTGCGGAAAAGCAAGCATTAAACAAACAAAAAAATAGCCTTTGAGTGCTGACCATAGCTACACCCCCTTTACTTAATCGTATCTTTCCACCACAACTGAGGCTAGATTTAAAAAAAACAAAACTTTTCTTTATTAATGTTAAATAAAATATTACAAAAATCTCCTTCACGCGGAAAATGGATTATTGCTCACAGCACTTCCCGCTTTTCACACACATTTTGCGTACGTCACAGCTCACCAATGACACTTTTTAGTTGCAAAACTTATTACAAGAAATTACTTTTATAGTTAACATCTTTTTTTTTGCACTAAAAGTTCTCAACACATGCGCTCAATAAGAATAATCTAGCAATTAGAAGGAAAAAAGTGATGGACTTGCTTTTAGTCGATGCATGTGTTGTCCCAGCTGTAAACCTTTTACAATCTGTAGAAACCACTCAGAGGGATTTTAAAAATCTAGTAGGCTATATTTATTAAGAAATTTTCTACACTAGAGCTAACAAGTGTTTACAAAAATACTGATCTGTTAAGACAAATTGATACAAGTCACTGTGCAAAAGCTGGAGAGTTTATGTTCGATAGTTGAGGAAATATTTTGACAAAAAGTTGCGCCACGAAATTTTGACCGACTATAGAAATATTATTACATTAGTAGTAGAAGGCCTATTGTTATTGTTATTATTATTATTATTATTATTATTATTATTATTATTATTATTATTATTATTATTAACCGTAAGAGATCACCATGATCATCATCATCGTCATCACCAGCAGCAACAACAGCAGCAGCAACAATGCCTTACTGTCTCTCACACTCTGTACCAGGGTATGAGCCACGAACAAACACTGTCCACCCGTCCTTACCCTGGGCTAGTCTCTTGACGTTACTCCATGCCTCCCCACTGTTCTGTATAACACTATAACACCATTTTCTGTAACTCTTCTCCAGGTTCCAC